GGGGGGGGGGCGGGCTAGATGACTTCTAAAGGTCCCTTCCAACCCAAAGTACTCTATGATTCTATGATCTTTTAGTAGTAGCCAAGAGCAGTTTGTTCCTGTCTCCACTGCAACTTTGCCATCTGGTCAAAGTATACTTTTGTTTTCCTCTGTTCAAGCTTGGTATCACTTCCTCTGAACACTTAAGTTCCTCTGCACTTATCCATGTAGATGATTTTTAACTACTTAAAACTTCCATGATGCTGCAGTCAGTACTGTTACACTACCGTGTGTGTTTGTATATCAGTGGAACTGAAGTTGTAGCAGGTACTGCAGCTTGGCAGAACTGATCCTTATTTGCACTATGGAGTCATTTTGCTCTAGTAAAGCAAAGCCAAGGAGACAGATGGAATTCTGTCTTTTGCCTAGACTTACATGTGTGTTATCGTCTTTCATGCTTAAGGGATGAATGGTGGATGGGAGAGATAAACACCTCATGATTAGCGTATGATTCTTGTATGTAGGAAGTCAAAATTAGGCCCACATCAGCCAGAAATGTCAGTCCCTGAAGTCTCCTAGCCTACTGGAATATGGCCTAACCTCAGGTCTAAAACATGTTCTCATTGCCATCGTACGGAAAGCTGTTCTGTCTGGAACCTGAAAGATCAGAATAGCACAACCACCTCAGCTTCATCCTAGGCACTAGCAGTCTTTCTTACTCTTTTAGGGGCGTTCACTGTCTGCCAAGTATAACTTATCTTCTGATTATGAGCAAACTTTTTTCTTTCACAGACAAACCCAAGGTAAGCTGCAGAAACTACCAACTGGGAGGTGGCAGATAATGGAGACCATTTGTGGAAAGACTCTTTTTTTTTCCTCCTCTGCACCACTAAAAAGCTTTAACTTACAGGTCTGAGTGAGGCATAATTCATAGGTCAGTTCAATTTATGGCAGGTTTGGGAGATGGACATTTAAAAGTGGTGTTCTACAACATCTGAATGTCTCTTCTTTCCTGTGCTTGTTGAAGGTGGATGCTTCTGTGTGGCTTGTTTCTTAATCTCCAGTGTGGGCAGAGGTAGTGTAATTTCACTTGAATTGTTGCTTGAACCATCATAGCGGGTGAACAACACAGTCCATAAAGCATCTCTTTCACAAGAGGAGAGTCCAGTACCATTCTGGGTATGCTCAGGGTAGCTCATCTGCCACATGAGACTGCTTGTTAAGTACAATAGAAGATAACTGAAAATGTGTTAATAAGCTCTTATAATACACATACAGTCATGTAAAAGTTTATTAAATGCACTTAATGCCAATTAGTAACACTTGATATGGCACAGATTTGCCCCTTAAAACTGAACCAGTTAGTGAGGAAGAGAATTTGCTACTTTTCTTCAGATTAGTGAAGAGTTCTGGTTTATGGCAATTTATACTGTTATATACATTTATATTTTTAGGAGAAAAAAGTCACAGCCAAATCACATATGGAAGCAAGGAATTCGAGCAAAGACAATACTATTTAAATAACTAAGTCTTTCGACTTTGTCTTTTGATCAAAGTAATTCCTGTGATATCATTTTGGTTGGATAAAAGCAACTGCATTATACCAGACTTCCAACACCACTACTTCACCTTTGTTTGTCATCTGCATCATTGTGAGATAATATTTGGTCAGTACCGTCAAAATTTAATATAAGCTCTAGACCCAAATATTGAGTACACTTTTTCCTTCCCAGTATGTCTACATAATTTGTATTTAAAAGTAGATATACATACACAGTTTCTGTGACTAAGACAATACGATTTTAAAATTGTGCCTCAAAACCAACAGCTTTTTCATGGGTAAATTACTTTTTTTTTTAAAAAAAATATGTAAATAATTATCTAAAGGCAGGTCTGTATTTATTTTACTTTGAAGACATTACGTATTGCTGTCTGGGCTAATTTTGCAGAACTGTCTGATGGTGTTGAACTGTGAAAGGGTTTTAGACTACTAGTCTTCAAACAGAAAAAGGTGGTGCTGGGAAGCTTCCAAACAAAGTGATTCCTAAACAGAACGATGTACAACGTAGCATCAAGGAAGTACAGCATCTCCATATGCACAGTCCGTTTCAACAGCAAGGTTGTAATCTGCTCCTCTTCCACCTTTATATGCACTTGTCACAATTCTCAGCCACCCTCTTTCACCCTGTAAAGAATTAATTTGCATTGTGAATTAGAAAACTATGTATGTTATTGAGTCTGTTCCATCTTCCAAATATGAATGATTTCTAAGCAAATCCAGGAATTCACTCCAGATGAAGTGTAACACCAGGTTCACGGTGCAACTTTCCTTAAGTGAGCTATCTGCTTTGGTGAATTTTCAACCGCCTTCATCTATTCCAGGTATGTGACTTGATTTTTCGCCTACAACTAACAGTTGCCCATAACAGGAGCTGCATGTCCATGCACGGGTAGCATTTGGGATTGAGTTGACATTACTCAAGTAACTTTGGCTGAATAGCCTTACCTTCAGCTTAGTTAGGTTTAAGTTTTTAATTGCTAGTCTAGTTCAAATAAAGCTTTACTGTTTCTATCCACAGGATAGCTTTGCAGCTTCCTGTCTGCAAGTGAAAAACCCCACCTTTCCTCTAAAGTCATTCTGCAAATGTGTTTGTTCCCATGTTTCCTTACCCAGGGTTCACCCCATGAGTTACGAACAATCCAGTATTCTGTTCCATTTTCTATGCCCCAGCCAGCCACGGATACAATGTGATTCACCTCAGGGGAGGGGTTGTACTCTGTATAGAGTCCCCCAGTGTAAGCATCCAACTTCTCAGTAGCCATTATGCCACAGCTGTAAGAAAACAGAGAAAACATTTTACACAAGGGGATCAGGGCAGGGGCCTGGCTGAAAAACAACTGCTTTTCTTGCATTTTGACTCAGCTCACCTTATCTACAAGCAGGCTAAAGTCTGCATGTTAGTACAGAGCTGCTGACATACACTAGAGTGGAGGAGTACACTTCAGTCATTAGAATGAGTTTCAAGTATTTCAATCCCAGCTCTGCTCTTAGATATTACCTAATTGCTCCAATAGTATAGATTTCTGCCATCATTTTTTCTCTTCCACTGACAGACCCATAGTCAGCAACTTTCCAGAGAGTGTAGTTCTTTATCACATGGCATTCTCCAAAAGTGACACAAGTTCCACACTGGTTAAACTTCTTGCACTCTACAGAACAAAAGTGAGATTATCACTGCAAGAGGATACTTTTCTTCAAGTGAATTAATGGTATCACACTGAGCCTTTTTTCCTTTTAACTTATTTGAGGCAGATATTAATAACTTAATTACTAATACGTACTCTCTGGTGAGCTAAATTCCTTTCTGGAAACCACACTGGAAGTCTCTACAATCACTAGTTACTATTCTTTACTTCATAGGCATAAGTGCTTTGATGAGGAAACATTTCAGATGTGCATCTCCATAGATATAAAAACTATTCCAGTCATACATGACCAGACAGAGGTTACATTACCCCTTTGTTTAGCTTGAGGTGACACTTGTAAATATTTCAGTACATTAGAGATTGTATATCACAGACTTAAGAGATTAAGTTTAAACAGTTTAGCTGTACAAACTTGCCTGGGCATGATTTAATGCTATGCTGTCTGGCTAGAGCAAGACAACACACACAGGCCTGTAAAGGAAATCTGTTGTGTCAGTCAAACACAGCAGGTACTGCGCTGAAAGGCAGGAACCGGTGCACTGAAAACCCAAAAAACTATCTCTTCTTTTTACATTAAAATCTGCTAATCCTGGGATGAAGCATTACAGCAAAGCAAACAGGCATCATACTTTGATCCTTTGCTTGGTAGTTGTTGCAGGTCTCATCTGGAATGCCATGGTCGTGGGCATACATCCAAACACCTGAGTGGTCTCCACCCTCACAGGATCCTGCGCCAGCACAATCAATCACATTCTGAACAGAGAGGTAGGCAGAAGGCCATGCACCTTTTCTCTTTATGTTGATTCGATCTGTAAGGGTAAGAAACTGGTTTTTGTTAGTGGAATATATGGGTGGTTACGCATTGCAACTAGTCTTAAAGCTGCCTCTCCTTCATTGAGCCTGCAGCTGTTTGCAGGCAACAGTACTTGTGGTTGGAAAAGCCTCTCCTGCCCCCAGTGAGGCACGACCTAACTCAAACTGACAGGCTAAGTTATTATTGTGGGTTTCCATTAGCAGATTTTTCCATTAAAAACTCAGCAAAAATATGCAGATGAGTAAGATCTGTTTAAAGTCTTGAAGTGCCCTAGACCTCTTTTAATTCAAGTCACAGCTTCTGAGAACTTCCAGATCTGTTTCCTGGCTTTGACAGCAAAGAGTTTTCAAACACACATTGTAAAGCCAGCTGTCACTAGCCTCTTTTACAGGAGTCAAGATTTATCTATGAACCCACACAGCCCAAGTCTCTGGGTCTGAGAGGCAGTCCTCACAAATTTAAGGAAAAGCTTTCAGAAGTATATCCTCACTGTTATGTTAACACCTCACTGTTATCCTGCCATCTTTGACAGGCATCGCCACCCTGCTGCCTTATTTTGTCAGAAACCACTGGCTTACTTGGCAGAAGAGCATTTATAAACTGCTTCTCGCAGTGCGTTAATAGTCTGAACTGATGCCACCGTAGTACTTTGAATCCTATTAGTACTAACAACATTCAGCTACACTGGACAGAACTGGGAGGCATTATCCCAGCCTACTCTACCAGGAACAAGGGAAGGAGTGAACACTTTATTCATGGCAGTTAAGAAAAAATACCCTGATTTTTAAAATCAGCCTTTTATACTTAAAGATGCACATACTTGCATACTTACATACACAATTAAGTTTTAACCAAAGTTATATAATAAAGAAGTTGCCATATTTTATCCATCCTAGTACTTCAATACATCATGGCAGGCTTTATTTGTGTCTGTGTTCTTGCAGTGCTTAAGCACAGATCCTTTGCCATTACTGCTGTCTGCTCACACCTCTGTCGTCTCCTTCACAGTTAATCCTCTTACAACCTCCCTAGGCCGAGTACTTCTGCAGCATGTCACTGCTGCACACAAATCATCATGTATTCTCTCTAGAGAAAATATTTTTGCAGCTGAAGCAAAACCCTACTTCCTTTTTCCCCGAGAAAAAGGCTGATAGGTATCTGCTGAAACTAGGTCTGTCTGTATGCTGTGGCAGTCAGTTCATTTGAATGATGGGGCTCTTGAAGCTAACACCCCGCGGGCCCTTCCCACGACAGGCAACTTCTTGTTTCCTCATACCCAGGCATCGCTGGAGCAGCCCCTTGCTGCTGTAGATGTCCTGCGGCAGGCTGAGGCACCAGAAAAGGGAAGGAGACATGATCACCGCTTTCGCATCTGCTGCTACCATCATGTTGTCTCCAAGAAGAGGGGCAGAAAACCCAGTTCTTACTCCAGGCCCTAAACAACAGTTTGGCAGGAGCTATGAATGCTTTTAACCATGCCGGCGTTCCCCGCTCGCACAACTCGGAGGGTGGGGACAGCCTCACTGACTGCTTCTGCCATTGAAACCAAACCTCCTCGCCTCCAGCCTGGGAATCCCCGCTGTTCCTGCTGCATTCGCAGACGTCTCGGCCTCCGTGTTCGCTGTGTGAAGTGTCCCTGCGGTAATCTGGCACCTCTTCTTTACACCAGCTGCTTCGGAAGCTGAAGGTAACCTCAGTGAAACCTGACTGAAAACATGGGCATGGCGGGGGGGGAGCAGCACC